GTATACCAAGAGACATAAAAGCATATGTCACAGAAAAACTTGTACATTGCATATTTATAGCAGCAGCATTCATAATAACCCCAAAGTGGAAACAACTCAAATGCTCATCAGCTGATGAATGGATAAACAAAATGTGGTATACCTATACAATGGAATATTATTGCACCATAAAAAGGAATAAAGTGCGGATACATGCTGTATGAAGGATGAACCTTGAAAACATTATGGTAAGTGAAAGAAGCCAGTTATAAAAAACCACATATTATATAATTCCTATTATATATCCAGAATAGGCAAATCTATAGAGACACAAAATAAAATAATTGTTGTCTAGGATTTGTTGAGGGGAATGGGGACATTGAGGGTGATAGCTAAAGAGTATGGGTTTTCTTGGGAGGGAGTAATGAAAATGTTTTAGAGTTGGTTATGCTTATGGTTTCTCAACTCTGTGAATATACTAAAAATCATTGAATTGTAGACTTTAAATGGATGGACTGCAATCGTATGTGAATTCAATAAAGCTGTTATCAAAGACAGAGAGAATAGGAGGGAGGGAAAAATAATTGCTGAAAAACTTCAAGTCTGGTGAAAAACAAATTTATAGAGCCAAGAAGCTCAGTGAACCCTAAGCAGGGTAGATACAAAGAAAACCACACCTAGTCACATAACGGTCATATTGGTGAAAACTAAAGATAAAGAGAAAAACTTGAAAGCAGTCGGAGAAAAATCACGTAAAGGAGAATACTGATACAAAGTAATGGCTGACGTCTCATCAGTAACAACAGAGACCAGGACAGCAGAGACCAGGGTGACATCTTTAAAGTGCTGAAAGGAAGAAACTCTTAACATAGAATTTCATATTCAGCTACAATGTTTTTTAAAAGTTGAAGATGAAATTAAGACATTTTTAAATCAATGAACGCTGAGAGAATTATAGCAGTACTACAAGAGATAGTGAAGGAAGGTCTTGAGGTTGAAGAGAAATGACACCAGACAAAAATTCAGATCTACAGGAAAGAATGAAGAGCACTGGAAATATAAAAGATTATAAGTTTTTCTTCTCTTAATTTCTTATAAATGACAAAACTGCTTACTATTTTGTGCATCTGTAACATGTAGATGTAATAAATACAACAACAAAGCTCAAAAGATAAATGGTAGTAAACTAACTATACTGTTGCAAGGTTCTTACATTTTTATGTGAAGTAGAACAATGTGAACTCTAAGTAGATTGTGATAAGTGAAGGTTACATATTGTAACTGCTAGAGCAACCACACATACACACAAAAGCAAAGAAGTATAGCTAAACAGCCCATAAAATAGTTACAGTGAAATACCAGAAATATTACCTTAACCAAAAAGAAGACAGGAAAGAAGGACAGAGAAATAAAAAACAGCTGGAACAAGTAGAAGAATGGTAAATTGAAATGTAACCAGTATCAATAATTACATTAAATGTAAACTGATTAAACCCCCAATTTATTTTTTTAACTTTTTAAATTTTTTAAAGATGACCGGTAAGGGGATCTTAACCCCTGACTTGGTGTTGTCAGTACCACGCTCACCCAGTGAGCTAACCAGCCATCCCTGTATGGGACCCGAACCCGGGGCCTTGGTGTTATCAGCACCACACTCTCCCGAGTGAGCCACAGGCCGGCCCAAACCCCCAATTTAAAAGTGAGGTAGTCAGATTGGATAAAACAGAGATAGACACAAATAGATTGAAAGTTGAAAGAATGGAAAAAGGTACACCATGTGAACAGTAAGCGTAAGAAAGCTGGGATGGCTATTTTATCATCAGACAAAATAGAAAATCACCATATTAACATAATGAAGACATTCTATGTGATTTTGATAAATGCTGAAAAATCATTTGGCATAATTTAACATCCATTGAACCTAGGAATAGGAGGAAACTTTCTCAATCTGCTAAAATACATCTATGAAAAACCTACAGTTAACATCATATTTGATGAAATATTGAATACTTTATCCTTAGATTGGGAATAAGACAAGACTGGCTGTCCTCATGATTTCTAGTCAACATTATATTGGAGGGTCTAGCTGGTGAAATAAGGCAAGAAAAATAAATGACATCCACCTCAGCCATGCCACCCCACCATCCACATCCAGCTCAGCTAGGACCACAAAGCTGCTGCTGGAAGCGCCCAGGGCTCCTCAGCTGGAATGGAGGGGGAGGGTGCCATAGGCCTCAGCCATTCCCCACCTCTTTCCTCCTCCTCCCATAGTATTCCCCTCCCCTTTCCCTTCTCCCGCTCCCCACCAACTGCTCTACAAAAACATCTTAGAATGTAAAAAATATATAATAATAAATAAAAATAAATGACATCCACATGGGAAAGGAAGAAGTATAACTGTCTATATTTGTAGACAATGTAAATGTCTATGTAGAAAATCTTATGGCTTCTTTTAAAAAGTTATTAGAGCTAATGAGTTTAGCATTGTTGTAGGGTACAAGATCAATATACAAATTGTCATAAAGATTGAAAATGAAGTGGAAATTATCTCTTCACAGTTGATATAATTGTTTACATAGAAAATCCTAAGGATCCTGCAAAACAACTACTAGAGCTAGTAACTGAACTTAGTAAGGTTGCAGGATAAAAGGTTATTGTAAAACTATCACTTTTATTTCTATCTTCTAGCAGCAAACAACTAGAAAATGGAAAAAAGTTTATAATAGTGTCAAAAACGTAAAATATATAGAAGTAAATTTACAAAAAGATATGTACTGAAAACTACAAAACATTGCTGGGAGGAGTTGAAGACCTAAATAAATTGTTCATATCTCAGATGTACCTAAATTGAGCTATAGATTAAATATAATCCCAATCAGAATTTCAGCAGTTTTTTTTTTTTTTTTTTTTAAAGATGACCGGTAAGGGGATCTCAACCCTTGGCTTCGTGTTGTCAGCACCACGCTCAGCCAGTGAGCAAACCGGCCATCCCTATATAGGATCCGAACCCGTGGCCTTGGTGTTATCAGCACCGCACTCTACCAAGTGAGCCACGGGCCGGCCTACAGCAGATTTTTTAAAAAACAGAAATTCGCAGTATGTTTAAAAAATTTATATGGAAATGAAAAGGACCTAGAATTGTCAAAATAATCTTGAAAAAGAACAAGGAAAGGATATATACTATGTACCTTCCATACTTAAAATAAAGCTACAGTAATAAAGACAGTGTGGTATTGACATAAATATATATAGATCAGATGAACAAAATACGTAGTTCAGAAATGAGCCACTGTATATAAATTGCACCTCAAATAACATGACAGTTTAAAAGCCCAACATTGTAAACAACAAACAAAAATCTAGAAGCAAAGAAAATTTTCCCCTAAGAAAGGCATGTAATCTATTTATGCAGAAGTTTTGAGAGTAAAACCTATTAAAGCAAACCTCTAAGATTGAATGATCATCAGATTATCTGGGATGGAATAGCATTAGCTAAATTAGTGATTGATATGCTTTTTCTGGATCATGCAAGGTATCCTGTTATCTAAACCAGCTGCTTCAGAGTTGTGTTTTATATATATATCTTTGCTTAAAGACAAGTCTGATGTGGCCGAGCAGTAAAATACTTTGATGTAGATTTTGGTAGGAAGCTTAGAAGCCGAGGCCTGATCTGTAATCACCTCCTCAGTGAAAAAAATACTAAAGGAAGCAGAGTATATTTGTGTACCTTTTTATTTCTCCTGTGAGGATTCAATTTCTATGGGAGCTGAAGCAAACTGATTATTGCAACTTACTGACCCTGTTATTAGCAATATAGATATTGAATTACAGTGGGCAGGGTAGTGGGAGAGTTGAATGAATGCTGGATTAAGTCCCATTTCTGTCATTTGCTTAATCCCAGCTTCACCACTGCTAGCTGTGACTCTTGGGCAGGTCATTTAGCTTTCTGGCCATTTGTTTCCTCATTTGCAAACTATAAATTTGGACTAAATGATTATTTAAGATTCTTTCTAGCTCTGAGTCTCTGAGAATCTAAGAATTATCACTTACATTGTATATTTTCACAAGGATGTCTGAGAGCCTTTCTCTGTCTTCTCTTTGGCAGATTGCAGTCCTCTGGCAGAAATGAAACTTGATCAAAGTCTGTTTTTCCAACTTTGTTTCATCTTAGCTTTTACACTCTGTAACAGTAACAGATGGCCAGAAAATGTTTTCCCACATACTTGAAGTGGAATAAATAGCAGGCTGCCATTAGCCTTTTTAGCCACCCTTGGACTCTGAGTGATATCAACCTCAGTTAGGAACACAGCTGAATAAAGTTTGTACTTTTATTTGGACCATCTCTTCATTTTCTATCTTGCTCAATTTTGATTCTTTTCTGTGTGGGGATCCTTTCCTAGGAAGGAGCTTTGGAAGATTAATTTCATGAATATACAGGGCTGGGCTGCTGCAGCTCCTTGGGATCTCACTAGAGACCCCTTGCAGTGAACAAAACTCCCAGTGTCAGTTACTGTTCTCAAATCAGCCCACGTTGCTTTTCATTTAATACTTGTTGGTTATCTTGGGGTTCTTCTCAAATTTGTCAAATGCTCTTTGCTTTCCTCTACTTTGTTCTGCACAGCTGCTTAGCACTCATCGCTTGTGGCTTTTGTGTTTCTTCCCCACCCACTTGTATATGGGCATTTATGAGGATACTTTTTCTCTAGTTTTGTTCTAAATGTTACCCATGGACTTTCTGTGTTGCTACCTAGTTGCTCTGTTTTTATGTGGGGATTCAGAAATATTAAAAGTCCGTGTTGCCACTGCTACAGCCACTTCTCAGCATCCCCATCATAGGTTCAATCATGAGTACAATGATAGGTCTCATGTAACATCTTGCAAGGAGTAGAGACAGTGTGGTCATTAGTCAACATTTGTTCTTTAGCTTTCTCTTTTCTCCAAATTCAGAAGTGTTATTGGCTATAATGCTAATTTTGCATTTTCCCATGGAAATAATAGCTTCTAATCATTACTCTTTTTAGGTTCACTAAGAACCTTTCCCCAGACAAAATCAACTTGAGCACCTTAAAAGGGGAGGGTCAGCTGACCAACCTGGAGCTGGATGAAGAGGTGCTACAGAATGTGCTGGAGCTGCCCACCTGGTTAGCCATCACTCGGGTCTACTGCAACAGGGCCTCCATCCGGGTGAGAATGGGTGTCAGAGTGCTTCTGTGCTCTAAGGCCAGCAGGCCTGCCTTCTTGAGGGGCAACTCCCACAGACCTGAGTCTTTGCTTTCCTCTTTCAGATCCAGTGGACAAAGTTGAAGACACACCCAATTTGCTTGGTAATGGCCTTTCTTGATTGCAAATAATCAAATGGGGATGGCTGGGGTAGGCTTTTAAAGATAGGAGAGAAGACGGGGAGGAGTCTGATAGGCTGACCCTTTTAGGAGTGGTAGGTGCTTTCTTATGGCCCTGTGAGCTTCTCTCTGAGACAGAGTGACTCTTCTGGGCTTATTATGGAACTGCTGTGCAGTATAGGAATTAGCACTGAGATACAAGACCCAGGACTCCTGAGTTGTGTTTTTTTTGTTTTGTTTTAAAAGATGACCGGTAAGGGGATCTTAACCCTTGACTTGGTGTTGTCAGCACCATGCTCTCCCAAGTGAGCCACGGGCTAGCCCGTGTTTTTGTTTTTATAATATTTTTGCTCCCGAAGCTGTGTCTACTCTTAGACTTCCCTATTTTCCTTTGAAATCCTTACAGAGGAAAAATTAGAAATTTAGTATATGTTAACTATTGGGTAATTATCAGCAGAAAACTCTGCAGGAACTGACTCATGCATATCTTTATCCCAAAGACTGGAATCCTTAGGAATAGTTATATCCCTGTAACTTGGATTTGTGTTTTACCTTTCTGCTGTGAGCTCATTCTGTGCTTGTCGTGGGGTTCTACTGCTAATGGAAATGGAAGGGAGGAGATTAAGCCTCTCCATGCATTTTAGTTTGTTTGTTCATTCATTCAGCAAACATCTATTGTCTGCCCCACGGTTGATATAGCACTCAACTAGGCACTGAAACACAGAGACGAATAAGACATAGTCTGTACTGTCCTTTGTGCTGTGTAGGCTTTTGTGCAGATGCTTAGCTCTCCATGGCTTTTATTTTAGTGTCTGGATAAGGTAGAGGTGGAGATGAAGACATGTGAAGAGCCTCGGCCCCCCAATGGACAGTCTCCCATTGCCCTCGCTTCAGGACAGAGGTTAGTTGCTTTGAGCCCTGTTATTTCTGACATATCAACTGCTCCAGATCACCTTATAGTTAAAAAAATAAAAATTTATTATGGAAATTTTCGAACATACATTAAAGTAGAGAGAATAATGTAATGTACTCTAGATCTAACTTTAACAGCTATCAACATTTTGCCATTTTTTTCATCTTTCTCCTGCCACTTTTTATGTGTATGTGTGTGCGTGCTGTGGTACTTGAAAGCAAACCTCATATGCCACATGATTCCACCTGTAAATACTTCTGTAATATGGGTCTGTAACAGACAAGGACTGGGAGAAAAACTAAAACTACTATCACATTCAATAGGATTAACAAGAATTCCTTAATATCATCTAATACCTATTTCATAATTTTCTTGAGTTGCCTCTAATTTTCTTTTTAAATTAAAATAAATTCTTTTTTAGTACAGTGTGAATCTAAAGAAGTCCACATATCACATTACATTTTGGGTGATATTCCTTTTAACACTCTTTAATTATGCCTCTCCCTCCCACCCACCCCAGACACACAATATACCATATATTCTTTGTAGAAACTAGATAATTTTTTCTAAAGAATTTCCCTCATTTTGTATTTTGGCTGATTGAACCCTCAAGGTATCAATAAAAATGTTTCTCATTTAATCTGGTAGTTAGATTTAAAGGCTTGACCTGATTCAATTTTGGGGGGTTTTCTTGGTAAGAATACTTCCAAGGGTAGGGGACTCTCTCAGGCATCTTTTATTTTATTTATTTATTTATTTTATTTATTTATTTTTTTTTTAAAAGATGACCGGTAAGGGGATCTTAACCCTTGACTTGGTGTTGTCATCACCACGCTCAACCAGTGAGCAAACCGGCCATCCCTATATGGGATCCGAACCCGTGGCCTTGGTGTTATCAGCACCGTACTCTCCTGAGTGAGCCACAGGCTGGCCTCAGGCCTCTTTTATAAAAGCACTAATCCCACTTATGAGGGCTTCCCCCTCATGACCTAATCACCTCCTAAAGGCTCCATCTCCTAAAACCATCACATTGGGCATTAGGTTTGAACATATGATGAATTTTGGGGGAAGATAAACACTCAGACCGTAGCACTGAGTAATATTCCATTGTATGGCTATACCACAATTTGTTGTTTTCTTGTGGGTTTTTTTGTGGCTGGCCAGTACAGGAATCTGAACCTCTACTTTGGTGTTATATCCACAGTTTGTTTATCCATTCACTTGTTGATGGTCATTTTATTTCCGTTTTTTGGTTATTGTGAATAATGCTGCTGCAAACTTCACATACAAGTTTTTGTGTGATCCTGTACTTTTATTTCTTGGGTAAATATCTAGAAATGGAATGATTGGGTGGTAGGGACGGATTTAACTTTTTAAGAAACTCAAACTTTTCCAAAATGGTTTACCATTTTATATTTTTTGCATGCTTTTACATTTTACATTTTTTATATACTACATTTATAATTACTTTTTAAATATGTTTGTTTTATGCCATATCTTTACAGTCATTCTTCTTTTTGATGTTGAGATGTCCTCAACTTTGGCCAGTTAGAACCTTTCCAAGTGAGCTCCAGTGTCTTTTGGATAGTACCCCAGTAATCTTCCTGCTTTTAGACAGAACAAGATGTTCCATGCTTCTCTTATACATCTTGACCTCAGACCTGGAATAAGACATTTCTCCGAGGACCCTTGCTTCCCCTTAGGGAGACACTATTATCTGGGTAAAATGATGTTCATTTAGTTGTCATTGCTTTAAGGCCTGTTCATTGTCCAGTGCTAGGAAAAAGGTATTTTTAAGAAAGAGAAAAATAAATTGTGACAACATTCTAATATTTCTCAATTCAAATGAAAGAGGGGTTTGAGTTAACTTTTTGGATTTAATATTTGTATTATTTATTTATTTATTTATTTATTAAAAGATGACTGGTAAGGGGATCTTAACCCTTGACTTGGTGTTGTCAGCACCACGCTCTCCCAAGTGAGCCACGGGCTGGCCCTATTATATTTGTATTTTTTAAATTCATACACTGAATCTTGGTTTCTAACAACAATAACGTAATAAATGATTCACTTTTTCCATAGTTTGAAAAAAATGACAAAACCAATATTGTAACTGTCAATAAGACTGCTGAATGTAGTAGATGCGTGTGTGTTTTAACCTTACGATATATCCCATTAGGGGTGTATGGCCAAAGTACTGTTTTATTTGTTTTATTTTATATTTATTATTGATTTATTTTTTTGGCAGCTGGCTGGTATGGGGATCCAAACCCTTGACCTTGAAAATACTATGTTTTAAAGTCACTTGAAATCATTCTTTATATGGTTCAGTACCATATATAAAGGTACTGTAGAAAGGTTCATTTGTTTCAGTTTGCTTTTAAGTTTTAAAATGATTTTAGGGGGCTGTCCATTTAGCTTAGTTGGTTAGAGCCTTGTAACATCAAGGTCAAGTGTTTGGATTCCCATACCTACTGGCCAGCTGCCAAAAAATTATATTAAAAAAGTGTTTTAAAATTTATTTATTATTTATTTATTTATTTATTTATTTTAAAAGATGACCGGTAAGGGGATCTCAACCCTTGGCTTGGTGTTGTCAGCACCACGCTCAGCTAGTGAGCAAACCGGCCATCCCTATATAGGATCCGAACCCGTGGCCTTGGTGTTATCAGCACCGCACTCTACCGAGTGAGCCACGGGCCGGCCTTGAAATGTGCAATTCACTGGTTTTTACGATATTCACTGGGAGGTACAACCATCACCACAATCAATTTTAGGATATTTTCATCACCCAAAGTAAAATTCCATGCCTATTAGCAGTCACTCCTCATTCTTCCCTGCCTTAGCCCTAGGCAGTCACTAATCTACATTCTATGTCTATTCTGAACATTTCATATAAATGGAATCATATACTATGTGGTCTTTTCCTTCTTCCACCTAACATGTTTTCAAGGTTCAGCCATGTGGTAGCATGTAATAGTACTTTATTTGTTTTTATGGTGGGATAATATTATTTTGTATGGATATTCCACATCTTATTTATCCACTCATTAGTTGATGGACATTTGGGTTGTTTCCCCTTTTTTTGCTAGCATGTTTGGCATAGAGTCCTAGAAGTAGGACTGCTGGGTTAAAGGGCAAATGTATGTACAATTGTGATAAATATTGCTAAATTTTCCTCCTTTGCCATTTTATGATTTTTGCATTCCTACTGGTGGTGTGTGAGAGTTCTTGTTTTCCCAGAGCCTTGCCAAAAAAGAATATTGTCAAACTTTAGGATTTTTGCATAATCTGATAGATGACACATGATATTTTAGTGTAAGGTTTTTTGTAAGTTATATTGGAGTATAACACATTGAAGTGTACAAATCATAAGCTCACTCGTTGTTTACAGAGTTATGTCAAGAAACAAACTACTTCCAGAATCCCAGAAGCCTCCTGTGCCCTTTTTAGTCATACCCACCCCCAAAGATAATTTTATCCTGGTTTCAAATGTCATTGATTAGTTTGTTTTTTGTAAGTTACATAAATATAATCATGTAGAATATAGTCACTTCAGTCTAGCCACTGCATTTTTTTCACAACATTATTTTTGTGAGAGTCATCAATGTTGTGACATGTTTGTAGTTCATTCATCTCTCTTTTCTTTATGGTTAGCACTTTTTTGTGTCTTGTTTAAAGAATTTTTTTCTATTGTAAGGCATGAAGATATTCTTCTGTTCTCTTCTAGAAGCTAGAGAGAGATTTATTGTTTGACTGTTCACATTTAGATCTCCAATCCATTTTGAAACTGATTTTTTTTTGTTGTTTGATATAAGGTAGGGGTCAATATTATTTTTTCTTTTTATGGATATCCTTAAACTGACCATGCATTGTTTATTGACAAGACCTTTTCCTCATTGAACTGTCACCTTTGTCATAAATCGTGATTCTCAGTGTAGTTTTGATTTATGATTAGGGTTGAGCATCATTTTATGTTTAATATCTATTTGCATTTATTTTTCTGTGAACTGCTCATACTTTCTCCTATTTTTATTGGGCTCTTAGTCTTTTTCTTTTCAGTTTTTGAAGTTCTTTATACATTATGGATATGAGTCCTTTGTGATATAAATTACAAATATAAATATTTTTTTCAGTTTGAATTTCCAGACCTCCTTTTTAATGAAAAGTGATTTCACTTACATGTCAAGAATGTCTGGGTTTTCCACATCCGGGGGGACATTAAGATGTCCTTCATTCCTCTCCCTTTGCCATTTCTAGCTTCTCACTATGGTAGTATAGCTGAGCTCTTCAGGAAGTATTTGGCAAGGTAGAGGTGGGACTGTTCTTGAGTAGATTTCACAGTATTAAACTTCTTACACATCTGGAGTTACTACTTTTATCTTTCCACTACCTTTGCAGAGTATGCTCTGTTTTTGGAGATTTTGTTATTATTTTTTTCTTGGTGGCTGGCCGGTACAAGAAATTGAACCCTGGACCTTGGTGTTATCAGCACCGTGCTATAACCGGCTGAGCTAACCAGCTAGCCCTGTGTTTGAAGATTTTATAGAAACCTAGTGTCTACTTTCTGTAGTTATACTACCCCTTTCAGACAGTATCTAAATATTTATTCAGGTAGTCTGTACGGCTATAAAAAGATTCGTCAATTTATTCTTTCTAATAGGAGGCAGATTGTTTCTAAGTCAACTCCTCTTTCATTCCATTTTTTTAAAAATTGCTTTTAAAAAGAATACTGGGCCTGCCTGTGGCTCACTTGGGAGGGTGTCGTGCTGATAACACCAAGGCCACGGGTTCGGATTCCATATAGGGAAGGCTGGTTAGCTCAATGGGTGAGCATGGTGCTGACAACACCAAGTCAAGGGTTAAGATCCTCTTACCGGTCATCTTTTAAAAAAAAAAAAAAAGGAATACTGCATCATTATAAAAAAATTTTAGAAATTTAAAAAATGTAAGAAAGAAACAGGAAAAGAAAAATAAAAATAGTCACTCCCAGTTCTAGCACCCAGTAGCTTAGTCTGACGTCTTCCTGTGTAAGTACTGTGCATAAAGTTTCACATGATTCTGGTCACTGGTCTACCTCATTTGTTGTAGTGAGTATGGCTTTGCTGAGAAGGTGGTGGAGGGGATGTTCATCATCGTCAATTCCATCACCATCAAGATTCACTCCAAGGCCTTCCACGCTTCTTTCGAACTATGGCAGCTCCAGGGCTATAGTGTCAATCCCAACTGGCAGCAGAGTGACCTTCGCCTTACCCGAATCACTGACCCCCGCCGAGGAGAGGTGACAGCCCTAAGGGAGAGAATGGGGGAATTCAAAGTAGGACAAATTCTTAAAGGATAGTATTCCTGCTTTGGGGGTTTCCTCCAATGTTCCCCATTCCTGGGAACCCCAGAATCCTTTCTGTCTAGTGTTACTGCTTCCTCAATTATTGATCTCTGATTTACTGCTTTCCAGTTGTTAGGACCCCAACTGAGAATGGTGGGAATCTCTGCTTATTCCTGCTTTGGGGGTTTCCTCCAATGTTTCCCATTCCTGGGAACCCCAGAATCCTTTCTGTCTAGTGTTACTGCTTCCTCAATTATGGATCTCTGATTTACTGCTTTCCAGTTGTTAGGACCCCAACTGAGAATGGTGGGAATCTCTGCTTTGCCAGCTTTTCTTCCCTGGATTTTCTGCCTCTTGTTTAATTTCATCTAGAATTAAGGGATTTTACTGTCTCTCCTTCTAGGTTTTAACATTTAAGGAAATAACTTGGCAAACACTTCGAATTGAGGCAGATGCTACAGACAATGGTGATCGGGACCCAGTCACCACTCCATTAAGGCTTATTACCAACCAAGGCAGGATCCAAATAGTCCTCAAGAGAAGAGTGAGTGTGTTTTCTCATGAAAACTTCCATCTTTTATTCTCCTAGACAGCCTGGGAGTTTCTGTTCCTCATTGTTTGGAATTTTAGTAGCCCCTGAAATGACAGTTGAAGGGGGAGAGCCTGCAATTCAGTATTGTACAATATGCACCAGGGCGAGACTGCTTCTACCTCCTCGTTTTCTTAATTTTGGAGACCACAATTTTTACTTATGTAAGGGGACACCTGGTAGTTGACTATTGCTACTTTTTGTTAATCAAGCAAGCCTTAGTAGTTTAATAAGAAATTGGCTCTCCAAAGTGCTTGATACTTTGCTTTTACATACTGGAGATTGAAAAGCCACTTCTGAAACTGATTGGGCAATAGTCACTTTGAGGAGTTGGAATGATACAAGGTGATAAACCTTATGTTCTCTGTGGCCCCCTCAGACCAAAGATTGCAATGTGATAGCCTCCAAGCTGATGTTCCTGTTGGATGATTTGCTCTGGGTGCTAACTGACTCACAGCTTAAGGCTATGATGAAGTATGCAGAGTCGCTGAGTGAGGCCATGGAGAAGTCAGCCCAGCAAAGAAAGAGCCTGGCCCCTGAACCTATACAGGTTAGAGACAAAACTGACACCCTTGATGGGGCTGGGGAGATGATAGGCCAGACTTAATTTCATACCAATGTAGGTGGAATCTAGACTTTATGTGGCTTATTTGGGGGATTTGTCATTTACTTTTGGATGTTCCTAGGCTTTGCCTGCACCTCTGATTTTTCATTTATTCTGTTCATTGGGTACCTCTAATGTGTTAGATATACAGTGCTAGCCACTGGAGAGGAAAAGTGGAATAAGCCTCTTGTTCCTGTTCTTGGGGCTCTCACTGTCTTGAAAGATGGACCATAAACAAATTATTACAATATGGTGTGATAAATGCTGTAATAGAAGCAAACAGTATGCCATGAGCACAAAGAAGAAGCACCTAACTAAACAGGTTAAAAGACAGCACTTAGAGAAGACTTCATACAGGAGGTGTTTTAACATCAGTCACCTAAGTCTTCGGAGGGCAATTCAAACCTCAGAACAGTACTCTGACAGTTACTAGACATTATAATTAGGCATTTTGGAGTTTGGGTTATTTAGTTGGGACAGACCTAAGTGAGTTACCAGGCAAACAGTTATTAATGGGCATCTTGCTAAACTGTGGTTTTATTCAGGCTGGACTAAAGCTTAAAGAAAGCCTCTGAAGGAGCTTGTCAGGGTCTGGACTTGTTTTTTTATTCTGTCACATGTAGGTCACTCCACCTGCTCCGAGTGCCCAGCAGTCCTGGGCCCAGGCATTTGGTGGCAGCCAGGGCAACAGCAGCAGTAGCAGCAGCCGCCTCAGCCAGTACTTTGAGAAATTTGATGTGAAAGAGTCCTCCTATCATCTGCTCATCTCCCGTCTGGACCTGCACATTTGTGATGATAGCCAGTCTCAAGAGTCAGGTACCCTGTGAGGCCTGGGCTGGGTGGTACACATCACTGTCTAACTCTGAGCATAGCCTGGGGATGAAGGCTCTTTTCCAGAGACACTGTGGAGTACTTTGGTTGGCATCCATTAATCACAGGCATTCCTTGGGCCTCAGCCCTCCTCCTCAGCTCTCTATGTTAGTGTGAGGCAGTACTCTTTAGATTTTAGGGTGCAGCAGAACCGTATGTCATAGTTAATAAAATACAGATATTTGGCCTCTCCCCAGACCCCACTAAATCAGAATCTTCAGGACTTGAGTCCAAGCAGCGTAAACTTTTTTTTTTTTTTTCCCTCCCTTCAAGTCCCTTGGGCAATGCTGATACTTGTCAGAGATTGAGAATCAGTGGTGTAAAATTTTAGGAAAGTAAATTCAACTATAGAAAATCTCAGAATTTTTGGATTTTTGAGTCAATTTAAATGTTTATTGTGTGTAAATATGCTCTTCCCAAGCAGGGAAGTTATGCTGTGTTCCTGTCATACTTAGAGCAATTTATTTTACATACACATACATATTTATTCAGACTGAAAAAAGTAGTTGACTTTTTTTTTCCTTATGAGCCGTGTGAGTTAACCTTTCACTTAACTTCTTTGAGCTTCTTCATTTGTGAAACTGAGTTATTCATTCACCTCGAAGGTTGTCATCAGGCTCAAATGAGATAATAAACAGAATTTGGAGGACCTTAATTATAGGCAGATATTAGGTATTATTATTACTGTGCTGCTTGTTCCTTCAATACTGTCCCTATGTTCCCTTTACACTCCCCCTTTGCCACTAGCTCTTGGTTTTTGATGCTCAAATATGGTAGATTTTTCTCTCGCTGCCCCATCTTCTCTGAAGGCTATGTTTGCCTCTTAACGAGACTCAGACTTAGTTTCCTTGGGGGATTAGCTATTCTTTTCTTTTCTTCCCAGGACACCAGCAGAACTGCCTCTCTTGCTTGGTTATTCCTTGGTCTTGCAGTGATCTCAATCTCCCTCTACTCTCATTCTGAGAAGGAATAAAGGAGCAATAATAGCATAAAGACTGCTTTTGCCACCGCAGGAAATAATTTGCTACTCACTCACTTTGGTAGTTCGTTACTAAAATGATTACTATTTTGTTTGGTTATTTCTTCAAAGAGTTACCTAAAGGCTTGAAGTGTTTTTTTGTTTGTTTTTGTTTTGTTTTGTTTTGAATCCTTTCAGAAGTCTTAATTAAAAGTACATTATTGAGGGCCGGCCTGGTGGTGCACTCAGTAGAGTGCGGCGCTTGGGATTGCGGCGGCGCTCCCGCCGAGGGTTTGGATCCCATATAGAGACCGGTCCACTCACTGGTTGAGCGCGGTGCGGGCGCGACACCGAGGGTTGCAATCCCGTTACCGGTCATGAAAAAAAGACAAAAAGGGGAAAAAAAAAAAAGTACATTATTGAGAGTTTCATCCTACTGTTTGTTGAGGGAAGGATAGCACTGTCCTCTTCAAGTGCCGGGGTCTTGTAATCTGCACTAAGTTGTGAGTCACTATAGTCTTATCAATTATCTGTTAAACTAGATTATCCTACTTGGTAGAATTTAAGGAAGTTTAAAGATGGATGAGATGTTTGTGGATACTGGGGTAATTTCCAGCCTGCCATACCCAGGTGTGGTGTATTACTCTGTGAAGGGGTGAAAAACAATGGGAATTCTTATAACTTTGACTCCTCCCTTTGGATTTGGGGAGAAAGGAGAATGGGAACAAGGTGGTACAGAGGGCTTTAAGATTCTTAGAAGTTGTTCTGTCCAATACAGTAGCCACTAGTCACATGTGACTATTGGGCACTTGAAATGTGGCTGATCCAAATTGAGATGTTCTGCAAGTATAAAATATACATCGGATTTCAAAGATATCATACCAAAAAAAAGACTGTAAAATACCTCAATCGTTATTTTCATATTGATTACACTTTTTTTTTTTTTTTGTCTTTTTCCGTGTCTGGCAACGGATCGCAACCCTCAGTGTTGCCCCCGCACCGGACCAGGGACCGGCAACGGGACTGCAACCCTCGGTGTCGCTCCCGCGCCTCGCTCAGCCAGTGAGCGGGAACCGGTCCGTATGTGGGATCCGAACCCTCGGGCGGGAGCGCCTCCACGCTTCCCAAGCGGCGCACTTATCCAGTGCGCCACCAGGCCGGCCCTGATTACACTTTTTTTAAAAAACTTTTTTCAGTATAGCTACTAGAAAATTTAAGATTAGTTATGTGCCTCACATTATATTTCTATTGGATATGTTTTAATTAAAAATAAAATTAAGTTTTAATTAAAATTAAAATTAATTTGTCATGTACACCAGCCACATTTTAAATGTTCAATATAATCTATAAGCTATAGAACATGTCCATCACAGAAAGTTCTTTTGGACAGTGCTGCTCTAGACTCTACTTTGAAGGCTACACTTACTGCTTTTTTCATTAAGGGATTTGACAACCTGGATTTTGGGACTGCATACTAACATGGTCATCTGTTCCTTAGTATTAGAGATTAAATGATTGGAAACTGGGTGGGTTTTTGGATCAGCTTGGCTTGAGGTGGGGCAGCACTGTCTTTTAAAATCAAACTGGAGCAGCTCACACATCAGGCTTCAGAGAGGAGGTTGGTGGTTGATGGGGAAGAGTATCATCTGCCTCTTTTTAACTGTTTTCCCTCAGGTTAAAGCCTGTGACCCCAAAACTTTCCTATCTCTCTTTCTTAAGGCCAAGCTATCCTCTTTCTGGAGAATTTAGTCATGTACGTATACTGTATACCATTTATGTCTCAAATACGGTTATGTGTTTATGATTAGATATGTTGGTAATTGTTAATTATATGTGATTTTGATTTTAGACCTTATTGTAACATGCTCAGTCCATGTAGTTTGTTGTTCTCTTAGCTCCAAATAACTCCAACAGACAGAGCATAGTAGTGGAACCCTCTTCCTCCAGTAGCTGAGGTCATGAGTACTTGATATCACTCCAAGCAGGCGAAAATTGGCTTTTTTTTTTTTTACAAAACCAACCAAAATGTATTTATTTAATATACATCACAAGGGCTCATCCAGATACTTAATTTAAAAAACAGAAATAAAAGAAAAATAACACCACAGCTCAAGATACAGAGTCCTATATAGAAATCAAGGAAAGAACAGACCATCTAAGGAAAAAATGAAAAGATGACACAAGGAGAGCCTGGACAGCCTGGGTCAGTGCTCTTGGGTAGGTTTCTTGCAGGAACTTAAAAGATGTGGGGTTTTTCCAGAGCTTGGCTGCATGTGTGTTCAAAAGACTGTCAATGTTGGGTTCTCCTAACAGGCTCTGGATGGAGAGCAGGATGGTCCTGACATCGTAGAGGGCAGACCACTTGTCCTTCAGTATGTCCAGGCAGATGTTACCCTGGGTGTCCTCGTTGGAGTGGTAGCAGGGTATGAGTAACTTCACTGTGGATTTGTTGTAAGGGTTGCCACTGGGGAACTCAAGAGAGAGCTTGTAACTCAAGTCCTCATATACAGTGCCAGCTGCTCCATGGATGGTCACTACTCATTTGAAAAAGTTATCTGATTCAGGGAAGGCAGAAATGCCTTTGTCGCCAGACACCATGAGGGTCATCAGTCCTACTGTATGTAGCCTCTTGTCCACAGGGCTTGGGTGGCCCCTCCATTGGGCTCAGCTCCTTTATGGGTGGCAGTGACACTGGTGGCAATGCTGGCGGTGGTTCGGTTGGGGTTTTTTTTTTCTGTTTCATTTCTTTTATTGCTTACTCAATTACACTGTTTTAATTTATTTTTTATTTTTATTTTTATTAAGGAGTAAGGTTTATTGAATATAAAGAATTGACAATATATTTCTATAGGGAAATCAAATGAGTCATCATATTTCTATGTGACATTCTTCCAGATTAATGGGGAGATACTGTTATTGATTGTTGAGAAAGAGAAAGTAACAGAAAGACAACAGAACAGACAGTTTTCTTAGACTTGCTCATTTTTCAGGACTGATATATAATGACTTTTTTTCTCTGAGGGGATTTGGCATATGTTCTCTGTTTTGTCTCAAATTAATTGCTTTGAGGTTTCTCTTCCAGGGAGTGGAGCTTGGTGGTAAATATTTTGCTGTGTTGGTCTACCTCCTCAAGAAATTTCTTAACCACTATGGGTTTGGCATGCTCTGTTGCTTGCCTGGTTTTGGAGGCAGGGGTGGTGCTGGCCCGTGGCCCCTGTCTCTGGGTCGCAGTTTTGAGAGGCCATCTGGGTGGCGCTTGGCAGGAAGAGGGGAGCTCAGAGAACATGACTATGACTGCTGGCTCTTTTCTTTTAAACAGCTTTATTGAGATATAATTCATATACCACACAATTCACCCATTTAGAATATATAACTCAGTATTTTGTAATGTATTCATAGGGTTGTACAACCATCACCATAATCTAATTTTAGAACATTTTTGTCCCTCCTGAAAGAAACTCTGTACCCATTAGCTGTCACTCCTCCTTTTGCAGCCCTAAGCAACCACTCGTCTAGTTTTCATCTTGATATTTGCCTATTCTGAACATTGAAAATTGGCTTGGGGGTTGGGGGAATCAGATATAATAATGGTTTGTGGACCTTCAAAGTGTAACCCTATTTGACAAAATTTTATTCCTTTTATTTCTCTCAATGGGTTTTCTTGGATATCACATGAGCAGCATTGACATTGAGGTAATGGAAGATACATAAAATGTGTGGAAGATCAGCACTACAAACTATGGCAAATAGATGGCTGGGATTAGAGGATTTTCAATTGATTGCTCAATTTCAAAGTCATATGGCAAGAGATGGCCTGTGTACCTGTTGGCTACCATGGCTGCCTTGCTATGGTTATTTATGTTTTGATCCTTAGTGCTTTTGTGATTTGAACTTTGAGAATTCAGTAAAAATAGTTTATGTTTTATTATTTAAATCTACAAAACTTATTCAACTCATCATTAATTGAGTCAGGTATTGAAAAGAAAAAATGTTGACAGTATCTGAATGAATATCTAGTAGCTAGTTTTAAAGTTCTTTTCTTTTTTGTTTTTGGCAGCTGGCTGGTATGTGGATCTGAACCCTGACCTTGTAAAAGCTATTTTCTTATATCAAGCAAAAGTTAATTTCACTAAAAATAATTTTAAGAAATTAATTTAAAATTTTAATTGGTTTACTTTTGCTGGAGAAATAATTTTGAATAATTAAAATTTTGATTATATTGCTATTACGTATTTATAGAAATTGCTGATTTGCATATGTAATTTGATACATTATAATTTATATAAGTAAATAAATTAGATAAAAGGCATCAGCAAATATAGTTATAAAGTTAAGCTAAATATTGCTATCTTTAAAAATTCTAATTTAACATTTAACTTAAAAATTATGTAGTATTTCTTGCCCTACATTGAATAAAAAGAGTAAGCTTTTTACATAATGTTTTTATATATAAAGCACAGATACACAAATAGTACATAGCAGATAGTATATCTGTGGTATTAAAATTTTTTATATCAATTAAGATTTCTTATATGGGGAGGAGGCAATTCGGAAAAAAATGTCTATTATAGCTCCTGGGGGGGTGATTATGAAAAAAATGTTGAGAAACAGAAACAGAAGTATAGGTGTATCTCTTAGTAGGAGAGTGATTAATCCAGAATTTGGGATGGTGACATCTAGACTGGATGGAAATGACCCTACTTGTTGAAAGTATACCAGCTTACACCTAGAGGATTCCGTAGTATTTCCCTTCACTCATTTCTGTGGTGTTTTCCCTCATTTATTGAGCATTTACTACTTACAAGGCTTTATGCTAGATACACTAGTAGAGGACAGGGTGGAAATGCAGAACAGAGTAGGTCAGACAATACATATATGTAGAAGAAATAGTTCCTACTTTTACAATTCTTTAGTCTAATTGGAGAGATAAGATAGAAACATGGAAAATTCATTTAGTAAGAATTAAATGTAAATTTGAGATAAACATAATGCAATATTTGACCTATTGTTAAAAATTCCAGTTTACCTACAGTATTCTATATGTTTACTTTATAATGTTCCAGTTTGTGCAGTGTTTTTAGCATTCCATGGTACTTTGTATGTACAAATTATATAATAATTGTCTGATATCATAACTCTGAGGCCAGGATATGAAAAGAAACAATATGTGCTCTGTTTTTTGGGGAATCTGGCTTATAGCTCTCCAGGTTTTATGTTGAGGGACAGCAATACTAATATTGTTAGGTTTGGGGGAACCAATCAGTCAAGTTTGTAGAGTGTGTCTGCAGGAAACCTAGGATTAGAATTCCTGAATCCCAAGTTTTGCAGTTTCTTTTGCCTTTCTGCAAAGCATTTACAGAGACAATGGAATATTCTTATTTTTTGTTTTTTAGAGCATGTCCATTGACTACTGCAACTCAAAAGAGGAGGATCTCAGCCTTGCAAATCATTTGACATCATGGCCTTTCAGTTGGGTTTTAGAGCTGACCCTCAGAAGACTTTTAAGTGCTTCAAGGGGGTGTTTAGGTGTCTTTGTTCCTTCTACTGCTATTTACCTGTATTTTTCTTTTATAGGTGTCTCTGCAAACAGACTCATGGGTGGTGCCATGCAGCTTACCTTCCACAAGATGGCATTTGACTATTATCCCTTCCACTGGGCAGGTTAGGAGAATTCTGAATGGGGTCAATTCTAGCATGGCCCAAAACATTGAAGGCTAATTCTTGGGTTTATCCTTGACTGTCTAGCAGGAGGGTGCCAGTGATTGCAGCTCATGCTCAGAGAGGTGTTGGGAATATCCCTCTTCCAGAGAACACCTTTTGGAAACTTGCAGGGTCCACTATTGATGATTCTTTATCAGTGATAAAAGGAAGTAGGGAGAGGAGGCAGTGCCTGAGATGCTTTTTATTCTACCTTCGGTCCCTTACTTCCACTAGTTTTAGAGCCTCTCCAGCAGTCCATATTCAAAGATGGCGGCAGTCAGCAGCTGGCCTTTTGGGAGCATTAGGGAAAAGTCAGTATGGAATCCAGAAGAACTTGGGAGCTCTCATTGAATAATTTTTCCTTATCCTAGAGAATTCTGGATTGGAGGTGATGGGTCAGATTCTGAACTATGACTATACTGACAAAAAGGAAAGATTGAAACTTTGTATCATGATCTTGGGCTAAAGTCTTTTTACTTCTTTGTTGCACAGGCGATAGCTGCAAACATTGGGTACGGCACTGTGAGGCCATGGAGAACCGAGGACAGTGGGCCCAGAAGCTGGTGATGGAATTTCAGAGTAAAATGGAGAAGTGGCATGAAGAGATGGGTCTGAAACCATCCTGGCACCTGGGAGTAGACTCTCCCTTCCGGAGAAAAGCAGGTGGGTTATGAAGGACTGGAGGACTCCAGTTGTGTAGCCTCTTGCCATTTATCTTTGAATAACCAGTGGAGATAAAGCAGTGTAATAGCTAATTATCCCAATTGTCTCCTATGGAGAGAAATCAGTGATTTTTCTTTATAGAGTCCTCTGTCCCCAGGGACAGCTGTAATGTTGAAGAGAAGTTGTCATCATTTCTATTCAGTAGGCTGTTGCCTTGGTCTTAAGGAAAATACAATTTTTTTTTAAAGATGACCGGTAAGGGGGTCTTAACCCTTGACTTAGTGTTGTTAGCACCATGCTCTGCCAAGTGAGCTAACCGGCCATCCCTATACAGGGATCCAAACCCATAGCCTTGGTGTTATCAGCATCACACTCTCCCAAGTGAGCCACGGGCTGGCCCAGAAAATACAATCTTTGAGTTTCATCCAGGAGCTAGACAGTATTAAGCTGTCTTTCCTATGTATAGCATTAATGATCTTAGGACTTTTACTTTCCTAATTCTATTAATAATGAGAGTTGAACATATCTGAATCTCTTTCCCACCTTCTTATGTTTACTCAGATTCTCTTTCCAGTCCTCGAAAGAACCCTCTGGAGAGAAACCCCTCTCAGGGCCGACAGACTGCCTTTCGACCTCCAGCATGGAATCGCTTACGCTCTAGCTGCATGGTAGTACGGGTGGATGACCTGGACATCCATCAGGTGAGCACATGGGGAAACATGGCTGGAAAGGGGTGGAACAGTTCACTTGGAAGGCAACTGGAACAGTGTGAACAAAGATATGGAATTCGGGGACTGTTTGCCTCACTTGAACTAGATTGACAGTTTGGTCTGTTTCTTTCTGAGCATGGCTGCTGAGATCAGGATTTGGGAATTCTCCCAGTTTTCTTCTGAATGCCCTACTATGGATCTCCTGCTGAAAAAACTAACTTGCAGATAGTTTGAGGCAGGTGTGAGAATGCCTGGAATATGTGTGAAAAGCACTGTGCTCCCAGTGACAGACTTTGGAAGAATGGTAGAGGCTTTATACTTTCTCAGAGGAAATTGAGTGCTGGGTACTGCTGTAGATACTAACAGTAAGCTGTGATTGCTTAGGTTTCTACAGCTGGACAGCCGAGTAAGAAGCCATCTACACTTCTTTCCTGCAGTCGGAAACTCCACAACCTACCTACTCAGGTCTCTGCCATTCATATTGAATTCACAGAATATTACTTCCCAGATAATCAGGAGCTTCCAGGTAAGCATGTGGACTGGTCATTTCTTCTGTCCACCTCATGCTCTTTACATTTGTTAGCCTTGGGCCCACTGCTTATGTTCTCATTTGTTGTTTAAAGTTTTAGGTGTTCGAGTTAATTTAGCACACCTTTGTTAAAAACTCTGCCCTGTATAAATGTGTACATTTTCTCTCTTGATAATAAATATTAGCTGGTAAGTAACAGTTTAGCTGTTGCTTTGTACATTTTTTCTCTGTTTTTCTCTCCTTTCCAGTTCCCTGTCCCAATCTCTACATCCAGTTGAATGGTCTGACATTTACTATGGATCCAGTCAGCTTGCTCTGGGGAAACCTCTTCTGCCTGGATTTATACCGCAGCTTGGAGCAGTTCAAAGCTATCTACAAACTGGAAGATTCAAGCCAGAAAGATGAACACTTGGACATCCGACTGGATGGCTTCTGGTTGAAGGTAGGGAGATGCTGGGATTTTTTTTCCCCTGTTGGGAGTCATAGCTGCATTTTTCTCACGGCTGTCGTCACAGTTCTGACCTGTTCATTTCATAGAAGTAAGAAAAACAGTTCTACAGCCCAATTTGTCTTTCATCTGTGTATTAGTGGTGAGGTGCTGAGATGCTCAGATGACCATTCTTGTTTCATTTTCTTTCTGAAGGTGGGCTTCCCGCTGGAGAAGAGAGAGCGGGCGGAGGTGTATCGTCCCCAGGCCCTTGTCTTCTCTGCATCAAGCATGGTTGCTACCAATACACGTCATGCCCCATATTGTAGTTGTTCAGACCTCCAGAGTCTCTTCCGGGGTTTTGCTGCTGCTGAGTTTTTTCATTACAATTATGATAACTTTCCCAAGGTTCCAGGTGGCTTTAGCCTTCTGCACATGCTTTTTTTGTATCATGCCTTCCAGATGGATTCCCACCTCCCTCAGCCTAGTATCCTCCCTCCTCAGAGGCCTAAGGCTTCCCAGGATCTATGGTCCATCCATTTCACCCAGATCTCTTTGGAATTTGAGGGAACAGAGAACTTCAAAGGCCATACCTTGAATTTTGTGGCCCCCTTCCCCTTGTCCATTTGGGCCTGCCTACCCCTCCACTGGCAGCAAGCCCAGGCCCGGAAGCTCCGTTTGGCCTCAGAGGGGAGGCTGAAACCATCAGCCAGCTTTGCCAGTCCTGTTCAGTCTGTGGCCCTTACCCCTAACTCTGTGTCCCATCAGAGGTCAAAGACTGAGCATGATTTGAAAAGTCTTTCAGGTCTTACAGAAGTCATAGAAATTTTGAGAGAAGGCAGTGGTGGTGTGGACAGCCAAGGGCCTCTGACAGAGCTGGAGGATTCAGCAGATGTTCACGTGCTTGTACACTCCCCTGCCCATGTCCGTGTGAGGCTTGACCACTATCAGTACTTGGCTCTGCTCCGCCTGAAGGAGGTGCTGCAGGGGCTTCAGGAGCAGCTGACTAAGGATACAGAGGCTATGACTGGGTCTCCCCTCCAGGACCAGTCTGCTTGCATTGGAGTTCTCTTCCCCAGTGCTGAGGTGGCTTTGCTCATGCATCCTGCCCCTGGGGCTGTTGATGCTGATTCTGCAGATTCAGATACCACCAGCCTCATAGATTCAGAGCTGTCTCCTTCAGAGGATCGGGAGCTGAAATCTGATGCTGCCTCAGACCAGGGCCCAGCAAGCCCTGAGAAGATCCTGGAGAATAATAGCATTGAAAATCTGGATGCATCCCAGGAGAGGCCTCATAGCAATGGAGAACTGCAGGACTCAGGTCCACTTGGACAGCATCTGGCAGAGAAGGGCCATGAGGCAGTTGAGTCCCTGCAGGCCAAGAGACTGAGCAGAGCCCAAGCCTCTAGCTTACCAGCTGCATTGAAGCCCCCAGCTGGCAGGGATACTGCTGTGAATGGACAAGGTGAGCTTATTCCCTTGAAGAACATTGAGGGAGAATTGTCAAGTGCTATTCACATGACCAAAGATGCCACCAAGGAGGCTCTACATGCTACCATGGACCTCACCAAGGAAGCTGTGTCCCTGACTAAGGATGCCTTTAGTCTGGGTAGAGATCGAATGACTTCCACCATGCATAAGATGTTGTCCCTGCCTCCAGCCAAGTGAGTGGTTCTCTGCCTCCTTCAGTCACCTCATCTCTTCTTCCTAGTTCTGACCGTTGGGAGAGAATAGTCAAGGAAAATGCATAGGATGGCCTATTTAAAGGGTAGTTTTCAAGTCAACATTTATAGCTTCTTAGAATCAGATTATCTCCTCTTTCACTAATTCACTATTGCTGATACAGATATGCTATATCAGAATAATAATACCTGGGATTTGTATTCATCTCTTTTCAGTGGGATTTTTTGTAATTTTTTGTTTGATTTGATCCCACAGCAGCCTGGTAAGGTAGCTACAGATATTTTATCCCCAGTTTATATCTGAAGAAACTGAGGCTTTAGAGAGGATGAACCCATTGATCCTATGTCTTATAAATAGAAAAGCTGGGGCTTTGGACTTGCTCTTTTTGGTACACTTCATCAACATCTGCCAGAGTAATAGAGAAGGAAGCGTTTCATCCATTCATTCAATAAATATTTTTTGAGCCCTTACTGTGTGCTAAGTTCTCTGTTAAGCACTGGAGATACAGTAAGGAGTAAACAGAAAAACACAGAAATAACAGTCAGAAGAGTGGAAAAATATGGATTTTCCCATGAGTGCCTTGTGGTTTTAGGAAAGATAATGAAGACTAAGAAAAATCTTTGCTGGGACACTTTGTGGTTTTGAGACCGTGGTATAAAGACCATTGGCTTTAGAGCTTTTGTTTAAGTGAATTATCTTAAGTGGGTCTCTATGCAATGCCTGTGGGCATACTAGTACCTGCTAGGATAGACAGCCAAGGAGGAAGGAGAGAGGAAAACTTAAAGGGATGAATGGTATAATGATACTAGCCAACATTTATTGAGTGCTCTCTGTGCATAAAGAAACTGTCCTAAATCATTTCACAGTGTTAATCCACCAAATTCTTCTAACAGCCCTGTAAGGTGAGTACTAATATCACTCCCCATTTTACAGATGAGGAAGCTGAGGCTCAGAGAGGTAAGAAACTTGATCAAGATCATGCAACTTGTGAGTGGTGGGGTAAGGATTGAAAGCCTGGACTTCTAATCACCAAATGTGTTGCTTTTTCTAAATGGACACAAGTAAGGTAGATGGGAAAAGAGGAGAGGTGAAAAAGAAAAGAAAGGTTTGTGACACAAGCTCTTTTGAAACATCAACAGTGACTTCCTAACTGCCCAAGCCAGTGGCCTTTTCTCAGTCCTCCTCCTCCTGGACTCCTTGGTAGCAGTTAACACTGGTAATCAGTTCATTCTGAGCATTTGTACTTCTGCCCAGTTACTCTCACCTCCCTGAAGGAGTCTTCTCTTTTTCCTTGGCTGCTCTCTTCTTTTTATCCTATAAATGTAAATATTCCACAGAGCTAGACTATCCATATTCTGATCACTTTTATGATAATTTTTACTTTTTAAATTATAAAAATGATTTGTGCTTATTGTGTTGACAAGGTAGGAAATAGAAAAATGAAGAAGAAAATATAAAAATCATTTATAATGACACTGTCCAGAGATAGCAACTATTTGGGTCTATTTTCTTTTTTTATGTGTATATATATATATATTTGTGTGTCCATGTGAATGTTCGTATGTGTTTATATATATAACATAAACAATATTGTTTTTACCACAATAGGATTATATTATTTCTACAACACTGCATCCTACTTTATTCACTTGATGTGTTATTATGAATATTTTTCCATTCATTAGGTATTTAAATACATGATTTTTAATTGCTCTATTGTATTCTAGCAAATGGATGTATCATAATTTATTCATCCATGTCACTACCTGGGAATTCATTTAGTCTGTTGCCAGTTTTTCTCAGAACCGATGCTGTCTGTGTTAAGTGTACTTATTTTTGTGAACATTACTTTGTGCTTATTGTATGTATCTAAATCTTTTTTAGAATGAAAACGTAAAAGTGAATTTATTAAGTCAAATACTACAAACATTTTTAAGTTTCTTAATGTATTTGCCAGACTTTCAGAAGGTCTCTGTCAGCCTATGCTTTTGAATACTTTCTCTCTAGATTATTTTATCCATCTTCTTACTTCTGCTATAGTCTGTATTTTCAGTCCTAACTTCCTTCCCCTCCCCTGCTCTTCATTTAAAACTATCTACTGGACATAGCTCCATATGGATCTCCCAGGGGTGCCTCAAACCTCACGTATATAAAACTAAATTCCTTATCCCTCTCCAGGTCAGTTCTTTCTTCTTTTGATAATAGTATTCTCCTACTCAGTCAAGCTCTACATTTTAGCTCATTGCCTCTTAACACTTGTTTGTCATGTTCTGACGGTAATTCCTAGATCAGTGACCCTCAGATTTGAGTGTGCATCAGAGTCACCCAGAGGGCTTGTTAAAACAGATTGCTGAGCCCTGCCCCTCAACTTCCTCATTCACTAGGTATGAGATGGGCCTGAGAATTTGCATTTCTAGGAAGTTTCCTGTTGATGCCGATGGCTCTTACCAGGACCACACTTTGAGAACACTGCTCTAGGCAATCTCATGTCAGTTTTTCCTGTTTGTTTCCACATGTGGACTATTTTGATAAACTATTAATTGATTTCTATACTGGAGGTCTTTTCCTCTCTAGCTTATTTGAAAAAGCCAGGTCAAACTTCCTAAAACTCGGGCGTGATTTTGTTATTTCCCTACTCCAAAACCTTCAGCCTTTTTCATTATACCCTCTGAATTTAGTTTGAACTTTAGTGGGGCATAGTCAATTATTATGATATATCCGTATGTTACTTTACAATTTTCAAAGCACTTTAATATATAATCCTTTATTAAAGGTTTTTAAAATCTGGCTGCAACCCCTCTGGTAAAGTGAAAAAGCACTTAGTAGAAAGTTAGGAGATTCTGGTTTTTCTTAATTCCAATTTTAACTGTGACTTTGGGTCAGTTTCTCCATCTGTAAAATGGGAGGGTAGGATTGAAAGGTCTTTAAAGGTGTCTTCTAATTGCGTTATGCCATTCTAATTGTATCTTCCATTGTTTTCCCCAACAAAACCTATGTTCCAGCTGGGCTGAGCTACTTAGTAGTCTCTTTGTTTCTGGTTCTATACCTTTGTTTGTGCAGTTTCTTCCCCATAGAATGCCCTCTTTTCTATCTCTTTCACAGACCTGCAGGGACCACTTCAGATGCCATCTCCTTCCACAGGGCATTCTTGATCCCCTTCCTCTCATTCTCTCTTCTCTTCAACATTGTCTAGCCTTTGGCTTGTGCCTCTGTCCCTCTCTTATGGCATGTGTGACTTACCTCCATATAATGTTATGGTATACATCTCTTAAAAGATTATAAATTCTTTGAGGACAGGGGATGTCTTATTCATCAATTTATTCATCCCCCACTGCTGGCTCATGCCTAGTATGGTGCCTTGCATTTAGGAGCTTCTTTATTTATTCAGTAAATACTTGTGAAATGAATGCAGGTGGCTTCAGTTGCCATTTATTAGTACCAGGGCAGGAGGTAGCTGATGTATGGGATGACCTTGAATAATCTTGACATTTAATGTTGATATGGGAGAGCTGTTTATGCAGTTAGAGATGCTGGAATAAGAGGATTCAGAAAGGCCAGTGATTGATTGAAAAATGACTTGATCTCTTTATAGCAGGTAATAGATGATATCAGTTTATTTTCACAATAACTGTCTGAGCTAGAGGAGTATTACATGTGGGTGGGAACAAACATGTCTCTGAAGCCACATTTGTTTTGTCTCTTTTTAAACAGGGAGTCCGTAGGCAAGACAGATGAGGGGGTGGCAGCCCCAGTGAGTGGAGGTGCTGCCCGACTCCGATTTTTCTCCATGAAGAGGACAATATCTCAACAGTCATTTGATGGTGTCTCACTGGATAACAGTGGCCCTGAAGACCAAATTTCAGTGGACAGTGATGGCAGTGATAGTTTTGTGATGCTCTTGGAGTCTGGTATGTTGGAGCAGAACCAGACAAATTTGCAGAAGTCCAGAAAGGGTTCTTTCTGCTGCCCATATTCAGATTGGTAGCGTTCAAGAGGAGCTGGTATTTGATAATACAGACATTTTCTTAACCAAAACACAAAGAGAGAGAAATTTCAATGGATTTGTGGCTCTGGCTTTATCTCTGCATCTTCTAGGTTATTGGTTAATACTTGACCTTTATCATAGAAGAGATTCAAACCAATGGAGAGAGTACTAGTCTTTCAGCCACATAGCTACATCAGTAGGATTAGTTCTGTGGTTGGTATCAATGGTGTGAGTATGTTTGTCTAATTTTTTTTTTTTTGCCTGTGTATTTCATTGTTGTTAAATAACCAGGAGCTTTCTGTTTGTTGATAAAATGAGTAACTTTTAGGAATTAAATCAATCACCTGGAAGTTACAATGGTTCCTTTAGCTTATTGAAAAGAAATGTATTAAATGATCCCTTTAGAGTATCTAAATAGAGAATGTATTATTTCTTTTCCTTTCTTTAAAAAAAATTTTTTTATTGGGTATTGACAAATTATAATTGTATATATTTAGTAGGTACAAAGTGATGCTATGATATATGTATACAATGTGGACTTTTTATTTTTATTTTTTTTTCCTTTTTGTCTTTTTTTTTTTTTGTCTTTTTTTTCCGTGTCCGGCAATGGATCGCAACCCTCAGTGTTGCCCCCGTACCGGACCGGGGACCGGCAATGGGATTGCAACCCTCGGTGTTGCTCCCACGCCTCGCTCAGCCAGTGAGCGGGAACCGGTCTGTATGTGGGATCCGAACCCTCGGGCGGGAGCGCTGCCACGCTTCCCAAGCGGCGCACTATCCAGTGCGCCACCGGGCCGGCCCTCCTTTTTGTCTTTTTTCGTGACCGGTAACGGGATCGCAACCCTCGGTGTTGCTCCCGCACCGTGCTCAACCAGTGAGCGGACCGGTCTCTATATGGGATCCGAACCCTCGGCGGGAGCGCCACCACGCTCCCAAGCGCCGCACTCTACCGAGTGCGCCACCAGGCCGGCCCTGGACTTTTTATTTTTTACAGTGAGAAAATTTTTGAATCAAGCTAGTTAACATATCCATCACCTCAAATAAATTATCATTTACTCCTCCTGTCTAACTGAAAAATTGTACCCTTTGATCAACATCTCCCCATTCCCCCACCCCCAGCCCCGGGTAACCACCATTCTGCTCTCTGCTTCTACGTTTTTGGTTGTTTTAGACTCCACATATGAGTGAGAACATGTCATATCTGCTTTCTGTGCCTGGCTTATTTCACTTAAAATAATGTCCTCCAGGTTCATCCATATTGTCCAAATGACAGAATTTCCTTCTTTTTTAAGACTGAGTCTGGCCAGTCAGCTCAGTTGGTTAGAGCCTGGTGTTATATCACCAAGGTCAAGAGTTAGGATCCCCAGACTGGCTAGCTGCCAAAACAAACAAACAAACAAAAAAACAAAAAAGGCTGAATAGAATTCCATTGTATGTATTTACCACATTTCCTTTATAACCATTCTGACAGGTGTGAGGTGATATCTCACTGTGGTTTTAACTTAAGAGAATGAACTTTTTCTTAAGCTGGGTGGTATGTGTCCATGTTTGTTTTGTTATTATTTTTAACTTCTTATGAAAAATTTCAAATATGTATACAAGTAGACAGAATCAAATAATGAACCCTCGTGTACCCATTACCTAGCTTCAACATTAAGAACTCATGGCCATTCCTGTTCATATACACTACTGCCCATTTCCCTTCTTCCCACATTATTTTGAGGCAAATCCCAAACATGACATTTTATCTGTAAATATTTTCATTTATGCATCGTTAGAAAATACAGACCTAAAAATTTTTTAATTATGGTAAAATACATGTAAAATTTACCATCTTAACCATTTTTAAATGTACAGTTTAGTGGCATGTAGTACATTCTCATTGTTCTACAACCATCACCACCTTCCAATTTCAGGACTCTTTTCATCTTGCAAAACTAATTCCCCATTCCCTCTTCCTGCAGACCCTGGCAACTACCATTCTACTTTCTGTCTATAAATTTGACTACTTTAGTTTTCTCATGTAAGTGGAATCATACAGTGTTTGTCCTTTTGTTACTGTCTTATTCCACTTAGTATAACGTCTTCAAGATTCTTCTATTTTGTAGAAGGTGACAGAATCTCCTTCCTTTTTAAGGCTGAGTAATGTTCCATTATATGTATATACCCTGTTTTCTTTATCTATTCATCCATTGATGGATACTTGGGTTGCTTCCATTTACAGACTTTTTTGTGTGGGTTTTTTGGCATCTGGCTGGTCCAGGGATCAAATCCTGGATCTTGGTGTTATAGTACCATGCTTTAACCAACTGAGTTGAACTGGCCAACCCTATAGACTTTTTTAATGTGACAAAATATAATTATCACACTTCAAGAAATTTGCAATAACTCCTTAAACTAATCAAATATCTAGTTAGGCTTCGAATTTCCAGTTGTCTCATGAATGTCAAAAATATTTTGTTTTATTTTTACAGTTGTCATTGATTTCAGAGGTTGGATTTGAGCAGAAGTTTTTGGCTTTTGAACTCTTTTGTCATCTTTCTCATGCAGAATCTGGTCCAGAATCTGTTCCACCAGGATCTTTTCCAAATGTCCTGGATGATGCTGGTGTTCAAGAGAGCCCTGTGGTGGATAACTATGACCAGGGGTCACCAGAGGCCCACAGTTCGGTTTCACCCAGTGGAGAAGACCTCATCCTTCACCCGGTCAGCTGCTCTGCTTTCTTCTTTGCAGAAAGTAGGCTCTGGGCTGGAAGATTGGGACTTGGAACTAAGAGAATCTCCTTTGAACAGGTCTCAGTTCTGGTCCTGAAAGTGAATGAGGTGTCTGTTGGGATTGAGGTACGTGGTGAGGACTTGACAGTAGCCCTGCAAGCAGAGGAACTGACCCTTCAGCAGCTGGGCACCGTGGGACTCTGGCAGTTCCTGCACGGACAGTGCCCAGGTGAGGATAGCGGCCATTCCAGGAGAGCTGGTGGGATTTATCAAGGACAGGTATAGATTAACTTGAACCTGTCACTGTACTCCTAGGGTAGCTGCTGTAGTGCCAACCCTTGGCCCTTCTCTCTAGCAGTCATTAGGGGGAGGAAAAACTCCCATGAAGCCTCTTTCTTGTAAGGAGCCTCTCAGAGCTCTTCCTTGGGCTTTGCATTCACTGGGCTATTCTTCATCTTTACTTCCAAGGCACTCCTTGAGCTTATATATGAGGACAGTGTCCACTTCTTCATTTTCGAGGCTGCTAACATAAAACTGTACCTGACCAGAGAACTTCTATCATTCAGATTCAGTCCTTTGGATGATGATGTCCAAATTGATCAAGAGTCCTACCTGCCTGAGGAAATAGCTGGTGTAGTTGAGATCTCTAATGGGGATTGTAAAATAAAGGTTTCCAACACATTAGAAAGTTAGCTGGATGTCAAAGCCCAGAAAGTGATTCCAGAAGTATGGGGAGGCTTGTTTAGTGCAAATGCCAACAGAAGCTTCTGTTTTGGTGCAAATGCCAGCAGGAATTTTCTAAGCCTTTGGGCGGTGGCGTTTATCCACTACTATGATGTGGAGGTTTTGGATATTTGCAGAAACAAGATTGTCTTTGTAGCTTCCTTTTTACTGTTCTCATATTGTTCTGTGTTTATCAATCCATACCCTTCTGTAGCTAATACCCTTGGCCTAATTGTTCACAACGTAAGAATGTCTCACTTAATATGATCAGGAACCTACCTTTAGTTTATCTAAAAGTAACACAACTTTTAGTTGGTTCTGCAGCACAAAGGTGAGGGGATCAGATGGTGGCTGCATGAACTTAGTCTTCTGCTGTTTTTCTGGCTCCCAGTTATCTAGTGTAGAGGGTGACATGTGTGGTGTTCTCTGCCTTGAAGTCTCTGCTCTGTAGGTTTAAAACACATGTGGGGCATGCATTCTTTCCAGCAGTACACTGTTACCTATTAGGGCCTAGAAGCTTTCCTCATCTGTAAATGTGATTTAAAATCTAAGCCATGAATATGTTTTATTTATTAAAACAAAGGGTTTATATGGAAAAAAAATTCAGTCCTTTGATATGAATTATCATTTATATGAGTACTTTAAAAGATGACAGGAAAGGGCCGGCCCGTGGCTCACTCGGTAGAGTGCGGTGCTGATAACACCAAGGCCGCAGGTTCGGATCCCATATAGGGATGGCCGGTTTGCTCACTGGCTGAGCGCGGTGCAGACAACACCAAGCCAAGGGTTGAGATCCCCTTACCGGTCATCTTTTAAAAAAAAAAAAAGATGACAGGAAAAATCTGGGCTTATGTTACCTATTTCATTAAAAAAAATATTTTTAAAATTATTGAGTAGATACTAAAGAATACTTATAAAATATATGTAAAGGCATAAAATAATAACAATACAGTAAACTCATGTACCCACCACACAGTTTAATAAATACGACAGTACTATTAACTTTGAAATCTCTGGGAGTCCCTCTCCTGAACTTTCCGCTGTCCCTCGCTTGTTGTAGGTAATCACTGTATTAGTCTGTTTGTATTGCTTATAACAAAATACCTGGAGCTGGGTAACTTATAAGAAAATGAAATTTATTACTTACAGTTTCAGAAGCTGGGAAGTCCAAAATCCAAGAAACACATCTGATGAAGGTTTTTGTTGGTGGTGGCTTTACAGCAAAACAGGGGTCTCACGTGGCAGAATATGGCAGAGCAGAGAGAGAAGTTTCACATGCTTTCCTTTTAAGGCCTCAGAACCACACCCCTGACCACCATTATTAATCCATTCACTATGGCATGGTCCTACAATCTAATCACCTTTTCAAGGCCCCCACCTTTCAATTTCCGTAATAGGAGTTCCCACCCTCTTCACACTGTCACAGTGGGGACTGAGTTTTAGGGAAACATCAATCCACAGCATTCCGCCCATGGCCCCCCAAAACTCATGTCCTTTCACACACAAGTACATTCATTTTATCTCCATAGTCTTGTTTCAGCTCAAAAGTCCAGAGTCTCAGGGTCCCATCTGTGAAATCAAACCAATATCCACTTCCAAGATATCATGTTGGGAAAAACAGGGTGCATATCCCTGTTCAAAAAGAGAGAAATAGAGGGCCAGCCCGTGGCTCACTTGGGAGAGTGTGGTGCTGAAAACACCAAGGCCATGGTTTCAGATCCCTATATTATAGGGATGGCCGGTTAGCTCACTTGGGAGAGCGTGGTGCTGACAACAACAAGTCAAGGGTTAAGATCCCCTTACCAGTCATCTTTAAAAAAAAAAAAAAGGGAGAAATAGGCCAAAAGAAAGGGGTAACAGGTCCCAAACAAGTCAGAAACCCAGCAGGGCAGGCATTAAATCTCAAAGCAGGGGAATCATGTACCTTGACTCAATGTTCAATGTCTTCTGCACACTGGTGCAGGGGTTGGGTCCCCAAGTCCTCAGGTAGCTCCACTTTTATGGCTTCCTGGGTCTGAGGCCATGCTTCAGCGCTTGTAGGCTGGCATTGCAGGCTGGTAGTTTCACAATTCTGGGGTCTACATGTGGTCCTGCTCCCATGCCTCCACTAGACATGGCCTTGGTGGGGTTTTTCTGCTGCAACTCTGACCCCACATTTCCTCTTGGTATTGCTCTAGCAAAGGGCTCTGTTCAGTGAATCTGCCCTGCGCATGCAACAAATCTCTTCCTGGGTCCTCAGGCTTTTCCATATATCCTTCAAGTCTGCCAGCCTGCAGACTAACATCATGTGGGTGCCACTAAGTCTTCCGGCTTCTAGCTTCCACAGCTGCAGGTCCAGCCTCACCTGGGACCAACTTAGCCATGGCTAGAGCAGCCAAAGCAGCTGGGGTGCTGGTACTTGAAGTAGCTTCCCGAGGTGTCCCTGGGCATGAATGCATGAAGGGTATGTCAGGCCTGTACCCTGAGACTACTCTGTCTCCTTAGGCCTCTGGCCCTTTAATGAAAGATGCAGTCTCCATGATCTCTGAAATGCCTTCAAGGTCTTTTTTCTCTTCTTTTGATAATCCCTTTCTTCTTTATTAATCTTCTTAGCAACATTGCATTTTTCTCCTGAAAATGCTCTCTGCTTTTCTACAATAGGCAGGCTGCAAATTTTCCAAATCTTTATGCTCTGCTTCCCTTTTAATTATACATTCTGGCAGGACTGGCCCATGGCTCACTTGGGAGAGTGTGGTGCTGATAACACCAAGGCCACAGGTTTGGATTCCTACATAGGGATGGCCAGTTAGCTCACTTGGGAGAGTGTGGTGCTGACAACACCAAGTCAAGGGTTAAGATCCCCTTACCGGTCATCTTTAAAAAAAAAGAAAAAACAAAACCAAAACTCTCTCTCTCTCTCTCTCTCTCTCTCTCTTTCTCTGGCTTTATGTCATGCCTTTTCTTCCATAACTCAGCATAGACTATTGAAAGTAGCTATGCAGCTTCCTGAATGTTTTGCTGCTTAGAAATTTCTTCCACCAAATACCCTGGGTCAGCACCTTTAAGTTCCACATTCCATAATACTTTTGTGCATGAAGAGAATGAAGCCAAGTAGGCAAGGCCAGTTTATAGCAAGGGTGATCTTGCCCCAGTTTCCAGTAAGTCCCTTGTCATTTACATCTACAGTCTTCTCAGAATGGCCTTTACTGTCCATATTTCTTTCTTTTTTTAATTGAATTATAATTGATTATACATATTTTGGGGGTTCAACATTGAACTATGTTGATCAAATCAATATTATTAGCATATACATTATTACAAATCGTACTTATTCTTTATGCCCCTTATCCAATCTCTCCCCATCTCCTCTCCCTCCCCGCTCCCACTTCTGAAAACCCTACATTTCTTCTCTCCTTCTGAAGGAGTAACTGTTACTCTATTGATTTGTTGCCTAGATGATCTGTCCAGTGCTGAGAGAGGTGTGTTCAGGTCCCCTACCATTATCGTAGAATAGATGCTTCCTCTGTCACTCTGTAATGGGCTTTGTGGAGAGAGACATCCTCTTCTTTTCTTTGGTCTCCCATGGTGATTCTCCTTGTGTCAATGCTCTCAAGTGGCTGGTGGGCCATCTGCACAGTGGTTGTGTTGTCTAGCCACTTTTGCAGCAGTCATGGCTATTGTGGTAGCTGTGGTGGGCTATGCACATGGAGGTGGTGTTTTTGGCGTGCTCCTTGCCTGGTTGCAGGAGGAGGAATCAGTGCCGGGCTCCATACATCAGGACCCCAGGTGGGCCCCATGGCAGCAGCAGCATGCCTGGATGTGGGAGGAGGGGTCGGTCCCCGGCTCTATCTGTTTTTACATTCTATGATGTTGTTGGGTGGGAGGGGGAGAGTGGAAAGGGGAAGGAAATAGGGTAGGAGAAGGAGGAAGGAGGGGGGGCATGGTTGAGGCCCATGGCACCCCCCTCATTCCTACAGGGGAGACCAGGGGGTTTCCAGTAGTGGCTAGGTGGTTGGTGGGCTGAATGCAGATGTCAGGGCAGTGTGGGTGAAGCCGTTGGTCCCCTACCACCCAGCCCAGGGTGCTTCCTGTGGTGGCTCGGTGGTCATAACTGGGCTGGTTGTGGATGTCGGGGGGAATGGCTGAGGCCCCTGGCCTTCCCTCCTCCCTTGCTTGGGGTCCCAGAGGACTTATGGTCCTTCTAGGTTTTATAGGTGTTCTTTGGTGAAGTGAGACCTTTACTAGTTAATATCAAACTTTGTCTCTGGTCCGTGGGTATTGTTTTTTCTTTCAGTTCTGTGTTGGATTATTTGCTGTTTCCAGTTCTTGGAAACTAATTTATTGCACTGGAACTAATTTATTGTCCTTTGCTTACTTCTAAAATGTGGGGACCAGTACTTGAGCCCTGTGGTTGAGCTAAATTGCTGCTTTGCTGCTGATTCCCTGGGGGAAGACTTTTTGTGCAGCTCAGGTTTTAATTGTTGACTTTGTAGGTACTCTCTGAGATCAGGTGCACCTGGGTTGTGTAGAAACTCTGGTCTGGACCTGAGTCCTTTCAGCAAACTGCACCCCTGCTATATTCCCGACCAGTCTACACAGAGTGGGCCTGTGCTGATTGGGGGGCAGATCAGCTGTCCTTGCTGTGCCCCAGTGTTCTACTGGTGGGCCCATCTCCCCCACTGCTCGTACTCCAAACACTTCCCATAAGACAGGCCATGTGCCAGTCCCTTGCAATGACTCACTGGCCTCTGAGCAGCTCCTTTTTTTTTTTTTTTTTTTTTTTTTTTTTTTTTTTTTTTTT